GGCACCATCAGCTTTCCATGAAACATCCATTTCTAATGCCTTATTAAATGGGGCATGATCTCTTTATCCTCTACCCTCTAGAAATTGTCTTTGACACTTGTCACTTGATACTTTTTTTGTTTCTAATAGTTACATGTTATGTTATATATGTATGTTATTTTATATGCATGTCATTATATATTGTTAGATATTTTAAAAGTACACATAGTCTAGAATGTTCACCAAAGGCACAGTTATAAAAGCTTTTGTTTAAGAGATCAAGCCTGTCTGATGGATGTAACCAAGTACCAAAGCAGTCTAGACTCCGGGGGAACAAGAGAAACAGGAAAGAACACTGTGTGCCTGTTAGAAGTCTATGGCCAAGAAACAAGCCAAAGGAGCTACAACTCTTGTCTTCTAAGAAAAGGACAGTTCAGAGATAAGCAGAACTCTAGGATGGAGCACAGGTAGCAGGTCCCACTGTGTGAAATGGTGGGCCAGAGCCTCTTAGATTTCAGAATTGGGCCTTCACCAACTTGGTTCTGGCGTGTGGGGATGTTGTTCGTTAATGCCAGGGGAACGGGACTACCATCCAATGTGGAAGCGCAAGGCTGCCATGCCCAAGTATCAGAGGAACTTGGCCTTCCAGGTCAAAGACGTGGAGTCTCCATTCAGATGAACTAGGAAAAGGGGGCTTCCCACAGCTGAGGGAGTAGAGTTGCCATCCCAGTGAGCCTGGAATGCAGAGCACAAGCCTAGGGTCAATGGGCCTCTTACCCAGACTCCAGCCAACACCTAAAATCTGGTGGGTAAGGGCTCAATCAAATAGTCTCAGAAAGGAGATGGTTATTTTTAAGCCTTAGAAGCTAATGCAATTTATTCTGCAGGATTTGGACTTGCTTGGTACCCTTCTTTCACTACATTTTCTCCAATTTGTAATGCAAATGAGCACCTTTACCGGTTAAGCCATTATGCCTTGGAAGCAAGTGACTTGTAGTCTAGATTTCAAAGGTTCACAGATAGGAATTTTGTCCCAGGGTGAAATCTGAACTGGAGGTTTATTTTATTTATTTATTTTTTCTGGAGGTTTATTTAAGACTTTCGGGATGATGATGCCATGAGATGCATGTATTTGCATGTGGCAAGGCTTGTCTTGGGGGGCTGGGTGGATGCGGGAGTGGGGTGGGGGTAGTAAAAGGTGAAATGTTACAGATTGAATCATCTCCAAAAAAAAATGTATTATAGATCCTAAGAGGAGCCCTGGTGGCCACAGTGGTTACGTGTTGAGTTGCTAACTGCAAGGTGAGCAGTTGAAAACTGCCAGCCGCTCAGGGCTTTCTACTCCAGTCAAGAGGTACGGTCTTCAAAACTCACAGGGGGAGTTCTACCCTGTCCTGTAGGGTCGCTATGAGTCAGCATCAACCCCATGGTAGTGAGTTTGATTTTCTGTTTTGGTAGGTACTAACCTCTTTGCCTCTGGTGGTGATCCCATTTAGAGATGGGTTGTCTAAGAGATGGTATTATTGTACCAATGTACTAGAGTTGATCTCTTTTGAGAAAAGAGGTTAAAGATGCAAGAGTAATTAGCAGAGAAAAGCAAAGAGATGTAGAGCCTCATAGGAGTCTCTAGGACAGGAAGCTCAAGAGATAAGGATCGCATGGAGCTCTTGGGGGCTAGCAGTTGGAAACCACCAGCAGGTTCAAGCTTGTACTATCATTTGGCCCTTTTCAGAAAAAAAAAAAATTACTCAGCACCACCCAGGCAATTAAACACTTTTGTTGTACAGTCCAGCATCCAAGACAAAGCATAAACATCTGCTTCTGCAGGCCCCTTGGATTGTTCTAGCGCCCCCAGGAGGCAGTATCGCCATGTTGGGAAACACTAATTTACAGATTTGGAAACCCACAAGAGCAGTTCTACTTTGCCATGTATGGTCACTATGAGTTGGAATTGAGAGCACAAAGTGAGAAAAAGCCTTCCCCTAAGGACAGTATCCTAAATTCAAATTCAAGCCTCCTAAAATTTAAGAAAATAAGATTGTTTAGTAGCTTCATCCACTCCTGGTATTTCTACTTTAGTAACACCTGGTAACTAAGAGCGGAAACTAGGAGACATAGTGTTGCCTGCGCAGGGAACAAATGTGTACTCCACAACTCAAAATGCCCACTGTCCTAGGCAACACTAAAGATTATAAAGGCCCATAAGTGATGTGGGGGTTATAAATAACTTTCAGAAAATCGGAAAATTTGTAAACATGGAATTTGTGAATAATTACTAACTAGAATTATAATGTAATCATTAATGTTGTCACTTATATTTCAAAATATAAACAAATTAAAATTTTTTTCACTTTTGTTTTCAATTTTTCAGCAAACGAAATTCACTGGAAAACCTAGTCATCTGCTACAAATAAGCACAGTAGTCTTTCCATATCTGTTGTTGTTGTTAGGTGCCACCAAGGAGGTCCCAAATCACAGCCGCCCCATGTGCAACAGAATGGAACAAAGCCCAGTCCAACATCCTTCCCACACCAGTCATGTTCGAGCTCATCACTGCAGCCATCGTGTCCATCCACTTCCTTCAGGGTCTTCCTCTTTGTCACTGACCCTTGACTTTGCCGAGCATCATATCCTGTCCTAGGACTGGTCTCCTGATAACATGTCTCAAGTCTGTGAGACGGAGTCTTGCCATCCTCACTTCTAACGTGCAGTCTGGCTATACTTCTAAGACAGATCTGTTTGTTCTTTTGGAAACCCATGGTATCTCCAAGATTCTTCACCAGCACCATAGTTCAAATGCATCAATTCTTCTTCGGCTTCCTTATTCAATATCCAACCTTCACATGTAGATGCAGCGACTGAAAATGCCATGGCTTAGATCAGACACACCTTAGCCATCAAAGTAACATCGTTGCTTTTCAATACTTTAAAGAGGTTTACCCAAAGAAATACATCTTTTGATCTCTTGACCGCTGCTTCCAAGAGCATTCATTGTGGATCCAAGCAAGAAAAAATGCTTGGCTACTTCCACCTTTTCTCCACTCATCATGATATTAACTATTGGTCCAGTTCTGAAGATTTGGGTTTTCTTTACATTGAGTTGTAATCCACATTAAAGGATGCATTCAGCAAGTGCTTCAAGTCCTCCTCACTTTCAGCAAGCAAGGTTTTGTCATCTGCCTATCAAAGGTTGTTAATAATCCTACCTCTAATCCTGATGCCACATTCTTCTTCATATAGTCCACCTTCTTTGATTATCACATACAGATTGATTAAGTATGGTGAAAAGATACAATGCTGACACACACCTTTTTTGATTTTAAACAGTGTTTTCTTCTTATATCTGCACAACTGCCTCTTGCTCCGTATACAGATTAGATTCTGCACAAGCACAATCAAGCACTCTGGCGTTTTCATTCTGCTCACGCCTATCCCTAGTTTGTTATGCTCTATCGGCTTCCAAAGCATTTATTTTACTAGTCAAGGAAAGTATACAACTATACTCAATATTTTAAAATAATGATGAGGGTAATACATTTCATATTATCAATCATATGATTATAATTTACCTATTGCTACAATAATAGTATAATTAGATACCTTCATAAAATACATTCTAAAATAAAAGTTGCCAATCTATTATCTGTGCAAGGTATACAATTATTTTGTCTGTAAATCACACTGCATTAAAGATTATCATTTCCTCTCTTATAAATTAGAAAAGCTCCAAATGTGTAAAAAAAAGTATGAAAGAATATATCTATTTACTAATGTACAGATGAAATGATCACTTTGTCTGCAATTAAGCTATAATTATGTACCTCGTATATCATCTTCCTTAAGTTTCATTTTTGATAAGTTAATGTCTGATCTTCGTAGAACTATACCCAAACCAGCTTCTAATTCACTCAAAAGATTCTGAAGTTTGGGATCAAAGTTTCTGCTCCAATCCTGATCCTAAATAAAAACAGACAAAAGCAACCATTCAATAAAATCTTGCCAATCAAATTGACTTCCTATAGCACTGTTTAGAAACTAAGTCCACATATGGCTGTCTCCTTCAAAGACCACTACTACCTCTATTTCACATAGGTAGAGAGACTGAAGAGGTAGACTTCACAGGAAAGGGTAATCCTCTTAGAAGTTAAACTTTTATACAGATTCTTTAACATACAGATGTTAACAGCTGTTATGGGTTGAATTATTTTACCTTCCTCTAATATTCTATTTGCTACAACTAAACTTATTTTAAAACAAAAGAATCAAGAATATTCTTATTAAAAGCTGAGATACTACCACTGATTAAAAGGCAAATATACTAATGTCATTAACAATAATTTGTTAAGTATTACATATTGTTACTGATATTAGCAGATTCATTTTAATATTACCATTATTGGTATATTAATTAATATTAGAATATTCTTATTAATATGTTCATTTCCACAAAGCATTTGTTAAAATACTCGGTGCAAGAACCATCATCACACAGCTACTTTAACGTACTCACCTTTAACAACATCGGTGCAAATATTTGGCGTACGGCTTGATAAAGAGAACTGATAGGGGACTCCAGCATAGATGAAACAAGAATGTTATCATGTAGATTTTGGTCAGTAATTACTTCAGGTCGCAGCTTGAAAAACACCAATACTTTATCTTTTGTGTCACCAAAATCAACCTAAATATGATAAACAGTATTTTTAATGTTATCTTCATAAATATTTGAAAGAAATGACAGATTGCATTATTGAATCATTGTAATCATATCCCATAGGAAAAATTAATTCAATAATATATTTTTTAAGTCTATCTTGGTTGATTAAGAATATCTCGGTTTAAAATGGCAACATATGTACAAACGCGCTTGACACAAATGGATGGATGTATGGATTGTGATAAGAGCTGTAAGAGCCCCCAATAAAATGCTTAAAAAAAAAGAATATCTTGGTTTAGAAATGTATCCCCCTTACATGTGATGATATTCTAGTTTCATACATGATTTATTAACAGAAAGCACTATAAAAACATTGTTGGCATATACTATTAACCACTCCAGATAATTCAGAAACATTGCAGATCAAATCTCTATGTCCCACATACACATTGATGAGTGCTTTATTTCTCTACTATACCCCCCAAAAGTTGGCTATACTCTCTCATCTGCAACCAGCATTTAAAATGGTGCCTTTTAAATTGTTGATAACTTTAAATGGGAAACTAACATCAAGCTCTTAAAATCGAGTAATTTCAAGGTGTCATACAGCTAGACCACTTGCCAGTTAGACTGGGTGAACTGACGGTGAGGATGGCACCGGGCGGAGCAGCGTTTGGCTCTGCAGTGCACAGGGTTGAAATGAGTCAGGACTGGCCCAAAGGCGCCTAACAACAAGAACAACACCTGTTTAAAGCAGGTCAGTTTATGGTCTTTAGTTCGTCAGCTGAAAAAGAGACTGCTCAGAGGAAATCGTGGCACCACACACTCATTTTCACAGGTATTCTCAGTTATTTTTCCAGGAAGAGAACTCTGTGCATTAAGAGGCTTCCAAACAAGATTACTGCTATTGGTGACAACCATCTTGGAGATGAAGCACGTTCGTGTTACTCTTCCTTTTTCTGGACCATTACATGTCTTAGTCAGTGGGAAGGGGTGACGCTCTATGTTTCCACATTTCTTCAAACTCATTTTTACACACATGCAAAATTCTACTCCTAGTATGACTGTGCTGTACCAAAGAAGAGGTGGTACAACAAACTGCATATATATGTTTTTCATTTTTTAATTTTTATTATTAAAAATTATCTTTTAAAAATTCTTATCTAAAAAAATTCCAAAACCGCGTATTTGTTATTTTGCATTGAAAACAACAACCAGTCACGTGCATAGTCAGCCATGGAGGCGGCGTGGACGATGCAATGAGCTTTGACCTAGTCAGAGTGCTAAAGCATGGGACCAATTGTCCATAGCCTCTCACGGCTCCGAGGCGCCTTGGTGGTACAGTGGTCATGCCTTGGGCTGCAATCCGCATGGTCAGCAGAAAGACTGGGCTATCTCGGGAACCCACTGAAGGACGGAGATGAGTCAGCATGGACTCCATGGCAGTGAGTTTGGTTTGGTGTATTTCTCGTCATTCCACGAACGACAAAGTGGGAACAAATACTCCCAGCTGCCTCTACCCTAAGTGTGCTCATCACTAGCAACCTTTTGACTGCA